ACACGCATCGACTGCCTCGTTCAATTCATATTTTTTACACAAATTAATCACTTCACCAATGTGTTGGGATGTGAGCCGCACTTCGCACTTATAGAAAAATTGTAAAAATTCTCTAAAAGCTGCGGCTGATGAGTCGACAATTGGAATATCTCCCACTTCAATTAATGAACCGTAAAACATTTTATGGGCTGGCACATATTCGGGATGATCGGTGTCCATGCCAAATATAAATGTAACGTCAGCGGTTTTTGTATCCAAGTACAATTTTCCACAACTACGATGAACTAAGTCATTTTCTTGCACAAATACTTCAACATTATCTTCAATTTTGGAATATTTACTGTTTGCAAAGAAAATGCTGAATAACAAAATCTAAACTAACTTGAAATCATTTAAAACTGTTTGTGATTGATCAAGTTAAAAAAGAGACGTTTCTTGATAGGCTTATCAAAGCACAGTAAATTGAAGAGCTTCTTGAATAATTTGAAAGCACTTGATGTGCCATATAAGAAATAAATTGATCTTTTTCCGTCGATGTTTTTTTTTAATTTATTATTTACGAAATGATAATGGAATGACCACTTGTAGAACGTTAGAGGAATTTGTGAGTATATATTTTCAAATCAATCCGAGTCTTTTTTTAGTAATGTATAGGTTTATTGCTGTGTCTCATCAACAATTTTCAATAAAGCAATATATAAATAAATTCTTTTGAATGACCGCGAAGAGATGCATGAAGTTTCGCACAAATGCTGATAAAATAGTAGACACAAAAAATTTGACTATTTGGATGAAACGCTCCATTGAATAAATTCAATTTAAATTGAATTCGTGGTTATTACTTTTCCGCACACACCTAGTGTGAAAGGGGAAAGTATTGCAATAGGTAAAAATTTACGAAACCTCAAAAACATGTTTTCTGGACGTTTCTGAGGTCAGAGAACCCGAATCAGGCCGTTTTGAGCATGGTTGTTGTGGGTCTGTTCCACGTCGTACGTCGTACGTCGTACGTCGTACGTCGTACGTCGTACGTCGTACGTCGTACGTTGTCCGCCGTACGCAAAATTTGTCCATCGATTATCTCACCCCCCAGAAAAGTTATTTAAAATCTGACTTCACGGGATGATTGGGGGTCCCCAGGAATAGAAATCATCAGATTTTGAGCGACTTTGGTTGATGGAAAAAAATTCCATGCCTGGAGTGATACCTATGAAAAAGAGTCCAATTTTCGTCCAAAAGTCATACTTAATGTAGACTTAAACACTCAAAAATATGTATTGGGGGGTTTTTTGGCACGAGAAAACCGAATCCGACGTTAGTTTTGAGATACAATCAATTTTTAAAACAGTTTCCTTGAAAAAATCACAAAAAATTTGGATTTTTGTATGGGAGCCATGCCTGTATGCTACCTTAATGACGTGAAACTTTGCACAGACTATTTTTTACACAAAATAATAACATTCTGAAAATTTGAAGAGATTTCAATTAAAATTAGGGGTACCTCCCATACAAAATTTTCAATTGGCTCAAAAACGAATATTTTGTATGGGAGGTACTCTTAATTTTAGTTGACATTTCTCCAAACCCTCCGAATGTTATTTGTAAAAAAAATAACCTGTGCAAAGTTTCACGCCATTAAGGTAGCATACAGACATGGCTCCCATACAAAAATCCAAAATTTCTGTGACTTTAGTTATGAAAAGTGTTTCAAAAATAATTTTTATGGCAAAATTAACGTCAGATATATTTTTATAGTATTTTGTTAGAAAATAGAACACTTTCAAATGTCGTACAAATGGTTTCATCATGAAAGTGTGAAAAATCTTTTCGGGTACTTCTGCTATTAAATTAAAGAATAGAATATAAGTTGAAACATATTTTTTGGTCTCGAACTTTACGCCGCTTGAAAGACTTGAAAAATCGAGCAAATATTATTTTGAACTTTCTTAATAAAATACGCAACTACCACCGTGCGGAAAAGTTCGTCTTACTCCCGTAAGACTCTTTATTTTTCTATTTATTAATTCTATGCTTCCAAATAAGTAATAACATTTCATTGCCCAAATTGCGTTTCTTAAAAAAGCACTTGAAATAGCCTACAATAATTGTGATAAATAAATTGATTGTTTCGCACCGAGGTTCATTGCTATCGTTTGGGAAGAGATAATAGAACGAGCAATGAGAGATGAAATTGAGACTTATGAGTAAAAAACTAAGTGCGATTCCAGTTTAATTCCTTATATTATCTAAAGCTGTTCAAGCATATCTTTAATATAAATAAAGATTAAAAGTCAGACAAGAAAATCTCCTTAACAATTCATATAAATGACGTATCAATATGTTTTTTACTTTTCCGCACACCTAGTGTAGGAAAGGTATTATATTAGGCCAAAAAATTAAAGTCACCCTAAAAAATGTTTTCTATGCATATTTCATGTAGAAAACACGATCGAAGATGATTTTGGGCATATTATTGTGCGTCGCTGTGTGTGATGTGTCCTGTGTCCTGTGGCGTGCAAAATTTGTTATTACGATAAATCTTCTTCCAAAAACTCAATTCAAATTCTGACTTTGCAGGATGATTTGGGACTACTAGGAGACGTGCTGATTAGTTTTTGAGCAATATCTGTTGACCGGTCTAATTTTTGGCGACACGATGGTTTCGTGCTCAGACATGAAATTCAAAATCTGACTTTACGGGATGATTGGGCATTACGAGGAATAGATCTGGTCAAATTTTCAACCTCATTGATTGATCGGTGTAAAACTTAGACTGTGAAAAGGCACTTATGAGAAAAATGCCTTAAAATGATATTCTTTCAATTTGAACGCTGAAGGAATTTGTAGTGGGGGGTTTTTTGGCACGAGAAACTCGAATCTGATTATAGTTTTAAGATGCAATCATTTTTTCACAGACTTTTCATACAAAAATCCACAAAAAATTTCATTTTTGTATGAAAGACTTGCCTCCGTAATGATGTGAAACACAGGCTATTTTTTGTTTTGAACAGGCTATTTTTTGATTGAAATTTTTTTGAACATGGTGTGATTATTTATTTTGATAAGAAAATAATATCCACAAGTCTTCAACCATACATAGACCATAATTTCAGTTCATTCCCAAAATTTCGGTTCCATGCGGAAAAGTCAGCTTGCGTACGTAAGCCTCTTTATTTAATCTGAAGAATTGAACCAGAAAGGAGGAAGTACAGAATAGGAAATTCAAAGTACCAAAGATCAAAGTGGTGATTCTCTTCATGCTTCATTTTCACCATTCCAATACCTAAAAGCAAAATAAATTAATTCAATTGAATTCAACCATATATTTCTCATCGAAGCACACTAAATTGACCTGCAAATTGGAGGTTTGAAAAATTTATTCGATTTGCCCGGGTTTTTGGTGAAAAAAGTGAGGACCAAAAAAAGAACACACGCACAATTAACTTTAGTTTCCAAAAATATTTATTTTACAAAATGTTAAGCTATCATTTTCTGAAACACTAAATGTGATAAAAGTTCCATTCCGGCATAGAATTTAATCCTAACGTCACTATCAATTTCAACTATTTTTTTGAGTTTTTTCCGTTGTAAAAATGGTATATCTTCAATATATTGGTATTTCAGTCCAACAACACTTATGCAATACAATTTATTTGCTTCAATGATGACTGGTTGTGGCAAAACAATGTGTGTTTCGGCTTCCGAAGTGAGCACAACCTTTTTGAAAAATATCAATTCACCCTTGAGATTGTTGTACGGTCCGTTTACAGTGCAAATCAGCTCCATAGTTTTGATATCGTTGTTTACTGAATTCGAACATAATTGCGGCAAATCAAATTCTCTTAATAAAATATTTGTATTTGATTCAAAAGAACAAAACAGTTTTTGAGCTTCATACAATTCCATATCGTCACGTATTCGTCGATCACAATCTAATTTCGGTAAAACTGATAAAGGCAATGTAGCACAAATACTTGATCGAAACTTTTTTTCGAGTATCGTTTGTGTGATTGTTTCAATTTCTTTGTCAGAAACAAAGCCAGCATATTTAGCAGTGTATTCGAAAAATTCATCCATACCAATTTCTGTGAATGGAATTCTATCGAATAAATTGCCCAGTTGACCTCTCAGTGTCAATGGATTTAAATCCAAATTATTTCGCACATTTTCTGCCTTTGCCCATTCCATACATGCTTCGACGACTGTCAATGGATTACAATTTGATTCCACTAACTGCAGAATATTGTCGACCGAAACTCGATTACACTCCAAGAAAGTGTCGGATGTCAAGACCTCTTGGGCATTTTCACGAATTTTTTGCTCACAAAATTGTTGTAAATTCTCAAGTTCAAGGAGAACAGCCACCTCGTAGCCCCAGCACATATCGTGTTTGGTCAATGACTTTTGCAATGGAATTTTACACGCATCGACTGCCTCGTTCAATTCATATTTTTTACACAAATTAATCACTTCACCAATGTGTTGGGATGTGAGCCGCACTTCGCACTTATAGAAAAATTGTAAAAATTCTCTAAAAGCTGCGGCTGATGAGTCGACAATTGGAATATCTCCCACTTCAATTAATGAACCGTAAAACATTTTATGGGCTGGCACATATTCGGGATGATCGGTGTCCATGCCAAATATAAATGTAACGTCAGCGGTTTTTGTATCCAAGTACAATTTTCCACAACTACGATGAACTAAGTCATTTTCTTGCACAAATACTTCAACATTATCTTCAATTTTGGAATATTTACTGTTTGCAAAGAAAATGCTGAATAACAAAATCTAAACTAACTTGAAATCATTTAAAACTGTTTGTGATTGATCAAGTTAAAAAAGAGACGTTTCTTGATAGGCTTATCAAAGCACAGTAAATTGAAGAGCTTCTTGAATAATTTGAAAGCACTTGATGTGCCATATAAGAAATAAATTGATCTTTTTCCGTCGATGTTTTTTTTTAATTTATTATTTACGAAATGATAATGGAATGACCACTTGTAGAACGTTAGAGGAATTTGTGAGTATATATTTTCAAATCAATCCGAGTCTTTTTTTAGTAATGTATAGGTTTATTGCTGTGTCTCATCAACAATTTTCAATAAAGCAATATATAAATAAATTCTTTTGAATGACCGCGAAGAGATGCATGAAGTTTCGCACAAATGCTGATAAAATAGTAGACACAAAAAATTTGACTATTTGGATGAAACGCTCCATTGAATAAATTCAATTTAAATTGAATTCGTGGTTATTACTTTTCCGCACACACCTAGTGTGAAAGGGGAAAGTATTGCAATAGGTAAAAATTTACGAAACCTCAAAAACATGTTTTCTGGACGTTTCTGAGGTCAGAGAACCCGAATCAGGCCGTTTTGAGCATGGTTGTTGTGGGTCTGTTCCACGTCGTACGTCGTACGTCGTACGTCGTACGTCGTACGTCGTACGTCGTACGTCGTACGTTGTCCGCCGTACGCAAAATTTGTCCATCGATTATCTCACCCCCCAGAAAAGTTATTTAAAATCTGACTTCACGGGATGATTGGGGGTCCCCAGGAATAGAAATCATCAGATTTTGAGCGACTTTGGTTGATGGAAAAAAATTCCATGCCTGGAGTGATACCTATGAAAAAGAGTCCAATTTTCGTCCAAAAGTCATACTTAATGTAGACTTAAACACTCAAAAATATGTATTGGGGGGTTTTTTGGCACGAGAAAACCGAATCCGACGTTAGTTTTGAGATACAATCAATTTTTAAAACAGTTTCCTTGAAAAAATCACAAAAAATTTGGATTTTTGTATGGGAGCCATGCCTGTATGCTACCTTAATGACGTGAAACTTTGCACAGACTATTTTTTACACAAAATAATAACATTCTGAAAATTTGAAGAGATTTCAATTAAAATTAGGGGTACCTCCCATACAAAATTTTCAATTGGCTCAAAAACGAATATTTTGTATGGGAGGTACTCTTAATTTTAGTTGACATTTCTCCAAACCCTCCGAATGTTATTTGTAAAAAAAATAACCTGTGCAAAGTTTCACGCCATTAAGGTAGCATACAGACATGGCTCCCATACAAAAATCCAAAATTTCTGTGACTTTAGTTATGAAAAGTGTTTCAAAAATAATTTTTATGGCAAAATTAACGTCAGATATATTTTTATAGTATTTTGTTAGAAAATAGAACACTTTCAAATGTCGTACAAATGGTTTCATCATGAAAGTGTGAAAAATCTTTTCGGGTACTTCTGCTATTAAATTAAAGAATAGAATATAAGTTGAAACATATTTTTTGGTCTCGAACTTTACGCCGCTTGAAAGACTTGAAAAATCGAGCAAATATTATTTTGAACTTTCTTAATAAAATACGCAACTACCACCGTGCGGAAAAGTTCGTCTTACTCCCGTAAGACTCTTTATTTTTCTATTTATTAATTCTATGCTTCCAAATAAGTAATAACATTTCATTGCCCAAATTGCGTTTCTTAAAAAAGCACTTGAAATAGCCTACAATAATTGTGATAAATAAATTGATTGTTTCGCACCGAGGTTCATTGCTATCGTTTGGGAAGAGATAATAGAACGAGCAATGAGAGATGAAATTGAGACTTATGAGTAAAAAACTAAGTGCGATTCCAGTTTAATTCCTTATATTATCTAAAGCTGTTCAAGCATATCTTTAATATAAATAAAGATTAAAAGTCAGACAAGAAAATCTCCTTAACAATTCATATAAATGACGTATCAATATGTTTTTTACTTTTCCGCACACCTAGTGTAGGAAAGGTATTATATTAGGCCAAAAAATTAAAGTCACCCTAAAAAATGTTTTCTATGCATATTTCATGTAGAAAACACGATCGAAGATGATTTTGGGCATATTATTGTGCGTCGCTGTGTGTGATGTGTCCTGTGTCCTGTGGCGTGCAAAATTTGTTATTACGATAAATCTTCTTCCAAAAACTCAATTCAAATTCTGACTTTGCAGGATGATTTGGGACTACTAGGAGACGTGCTGATTAGTTTTTGAGCAATATCTGTTGACCGGT